GATTTTTCTTTTATGCCAAAAATCATTTGGATATTAAGTAAAGATCATGTTCCATGAAGATATTTTGTAAATTTCTTACCGTAAATATATTAAAACTTAATTTTTGATTAGTAATATGCATTGCTAAGAACTTAATTTGGACAACTTTAAAGGCGATTTTCTTAATATTTTGATTTTGTTTTTGCACCCTCAGATTTCAGATTTTCAAATAGTTGTATCTCGGCCAAATATTGTCCTATCCTAACAAACCATACATCAATGGAAAGCTTATTTATACACTTATGACTGGTTTTGTGGTCCAGGGTCACATATATCATTGAGGTTAGGGCCTGTCCGTAGTAATTAAACCTTGTAAGAGTTTCAAAAAAACATGCAAGCTGCTTTCCTATGCAAAAGTTGGCTTCAGGATGCTAAGGTGGTAGCCAAGGTATTGATATATGTGACCCTGGACCATAAAACCAGTCATAAGGGTCAATGTTTTGAAATTGAGATTTATGCATCATCTGAAAGCTGAATAAATGAGAATCTGAGGGTGTAAAAAAAAAATCTAAATATTGAGAAAATCACCTTTAAAGTTGTCCAAATTAAGTCTTAATTAAAAAAAATTAAGTTTTGATATATTTACGGTAGGAAATGTACAAAATACCTTCATGGAACATGATCTTTTCTTAATATCCAAATGATTTTTGGCATAAAAGAAAAATCGATAATTTTGACCCATACAATGTATTGTTGGCTATTGCTACAAATTTACCTGTGCTACTTATGACTGGTTTTGTGCTCCAGGGTCACATATTTTATTGATAAGGTGTTATAACTTGTTAGGGTGTGGTTGTACAGGTGTAAACTTGGACTCACGGCCAGATGCAATGGGCTTCTGGTTTGGCTGTTCTCCATCTCATCATGTTGGTTCTCATCTCTGTCCAAAAGCTGAAATCAGATTTCATCTGAATTACAGCTGTTCTCATTAAACTCAATCAAAAGCTATTCTGAATTAAACTGGAACACATTCATTCTTGCACTATAAACATATGCACTGCACCAGAAGGTGGCATACAATAGGTTCAACAGACTGCAGGCATGTTTTTAGGACACATGAATGAAACCACAAACTGGACTAAATTCATTTGCATGTTAGGTTACACATTTAAATCTAATATAGTTGTGACAGTAGAGTGCAGATGGAGGAAGTGCCCCGAGGCACTCGCTGGACATATTTGTGTCCTCACCAGTTTCAGACAGTGTCTGTGGCCATACGCTGCAGCATAATGAACGGCACTGTAGCCTTGTTTATCTTTGAGTGATGGGGCGGCACCATGCTGCAACAGGAACTCGAGACACCTGCACACACAAATATAAATATATATTCAAATATACACACACACACACACACACACACACACACACACCATAAAAAATGTAACTAGAAAAAGTACAAAAAAGATCATGTAAAATTATTATAATTGGAGAGAGGGAAAATACATTTAGTTTGTCCCAGACATGAAATGATGAGGTTACAGACGCACACAGACACAAACACCCAATGTTTTGGCATCAGAGCAGCACACACGTAAACAGCACGAGTGACGGTGAGACAAGGAGGGGGGACACAGAATTGAGGCTGAGCAGACGTGGGCCGTTCTGCTCTTCAACTCCAGAGAACTCACAGGGCTGCCTCCTTCTCCCTCTCAGCTTGAACTCCTTCACTCTCTGGTTCCAGGACCACACGCCGCCTGCAGTGAAATCACACACACCTCACAAATCTTACTCAACAATAACTCTTAACAATTAGTAAAAAACTAAAGTTGTAAAAAAAAAAAAA